ATACATACATATATATATACATACATACATACATATATAGATATATATATATATATATATATATATATACATACGTACAGACATACATACAGTACATACAGTACATAGCATACATACATATATATATATATACATACATACATACATAGTACATACAGTACATACATACACATACATACATACATACATACATACATACATACATACATACATACATACATACATACATACATACATACATACATACATATATATATATATATATATATATATATATATATATATATATATATATATATATATATATATATATATGCATATATACACACACACACACACACACACACACACACAACAGTTCTGTTTGGTCCTTGAACCTGATTGGCTGATAGCCGTGTGATATTTTGCCAGTAACATCACACAAAGGCCTCTTCACCCTTCAGAAGCAGTTTTTTCTTATCACAAACACAAAATCAGTCTGATAGTGATTGCGTTGCTTTTTTGGGGTTAATTATTGTGATATCCTGATTGCATGAGAGAAATACTGTAGACTGCAACACTGTAAGAAGATATCTCTGTAGACGGTTGGCATTTCATGTCATGTTCAGCCTTAAACTCTTAAAGTGTGAGCAAAATCAGCGATTTTGTCATCACACTACAGAGAGCCATTCAAACACTAGCTCTAAAGTGACGTTGTGAATCAGTAACAGCTTCTGCTGTTCTGCCGTCAGCAGCAAATGTGAATGGTGGAAGAAAGTAGTTCCTAATAAAAAGGAGTTTTTAGACTCTCAGTGTTTGATTTTTTTATTTACATACATGATTGTGTCGTCAAACTGTTGTATAAATGCAATATTACACTTGGCTGTATATCAGCACTGGTGGGATGCTGATATACAGCCATATTGCACTGCTTCTCATGTATCCCTTATTATGGTGAGCATATCCCTTATTTTCACATCCCAATATTGACAGGTATGGTTGGGTTTGTTCTAGTTTGGATCATGTCATTACCACAAACAAACCGCTCCAGGGTTCGTTTGGAAGCGTACTCTTTTTTTGGTCCGCTTTTAGTGCTCACTTGAGTGTGATTGCATCAAGAGGGAAAACGAACTCTAGTGCAATTCAACTGAACTAAATAAGGCAGGCGTGAAACACCCTAAATGACTGGTTTTGGTGTTCCAGGGTCACCCATGTTCATTTTTCTGCTTGTAAAAGAGAGAATAAGAGTATAATATTTGATCTCTATATTTTTCATTCTACTCACCCAGGTTGTACCACATGTCTCGGATCTCGAATCCAATCTGTCGCCTCATGTCTTGATATCTATAAAACACAAGCATGAAGCCATCAGAGAAACCCTCAGACACATTAAAGCTACAAACTATCTGGAAGTACATCTCAACGGATCCTCCTAGAATAGAGAAACAGCTACAGTTAACTTTAGACACCTTCATGATATTCACCTCACAGGAGTGAATGGAGCAGAACAGAATCAACGTCACATGAGTTTAGTAGAGCGACAGCAGACGAGAGCGCGGACCGTCCCTCATGTTGCTCTGCTTTTGAGGAAAGTGTGAAGTAAGCAGTGTGTCAACAGATCTCTTCTGCTTTAGCTCCAGCGTTCATTACCGCTGACATTTCAGGACGCCGTGGCCCTCAGCTGAATCCTGAGCCTCCATTGATTGCTTTGTCAATACCTTCTCATCCAGTGGTAATTTATGATGACAAGGACGCGGCGCTCCACACACTCTGAAGACTCTGGAAACTCCTCTGACTCTTTATTTCTGCGGTTTGACCCTCATTACTGATGCCTAATCATTTCTCTGACAGAGACGCCACACTGCAGATGCATGCTAACATATACATCAGTTCACCTCATCTAGTCTGACCGTGTGTTATACTTATCCATCAAAAAGCGACAGATTTGTGTTGTTTGTTCAAACTTCTTATTTAAAATGAGCTGAAGCAACACAATTCTTGAGGTTTTTTTGGGACAGCTTGATTGGGTTTATGTTCAATCTATTAAAATTTGTTTAAGTCAACTTTATTCATTTTTTATGTTGCCCCTATACAAATGAATTGTATTTTTTGTGTGTAGTGAGTAATGTTAGAAAACGCTTTTGTTTTAAATAAATGCTTTTCTAATAAATATTTTTAAATAAAAAACATCAAAGTAATTTATGAACTTTTAATTTTTGTTCAAAATTTATCACAATTTTAACAACTCTCTACTAGCCGGGTTTCCAGCTAACTCTATCAAACCTCTTCAGCTGCTCCAGAACGCAGCAGCACGAGTGGTCTTTAATGAACCTAAAAGAGCACGTCACTCCGCTGCTCATCCGTTTGCACTGGCTGCCAGTTGCTGCTCGCATCAAATTCAAAGCTCTGATGTTTGCTTACAAAGCCACTTCTGGCTTTGCTCCTTTCTTATCTGCTCTCACTTCTGCAGATTTATGTGCCCTCTAGAAACTTGCGTTCTGTGAATGAACGTCGCCTCGTGGTTCCATCCCAAAGAGGGAAGAAATCACTTTCCCGAACTCTCGCGTTCAATCTGCCCAGTTGGTGGAATGAACTCCCTAACTGCATCAGAACAGCAGAGTCACTCGCTGTCTTCAAGAAACGACTAAAAACTCAACTATTTCATCTCCACTTTCCTTCCTAATCTGCAATTGCCTCTCTGGCTGTACCACTAACTGTATTACATAAAAAAAAATTACTAATGTTTTGCTTCTTACACTTTACATACCTGAAACTTGCCTACAGCACTTATTCATTGTTGCTCTTATAGTTGTGTAAATTGCTTCCTTGTCCTTATTTGTAAGTCGCTTTGGAGAAAAGTGTCTGCTAAATGACAAAATGTATATGTAAATGTAACTTCCTCTAAAATGTTGTCATTGGGATGAGCTCAGACATTTTTAATTCAGACTGAAGAGTCTGAGCTCATCCCAATGACATTGTTTCGCTCTATCCTTTTTAACAAACAACAACAGTCCATTTCTCAATGCATGTGTTTTTAAAATTGAAATGTGGTAAAGCTGAACAACTGAACTGTTTTTTTATTATATTAATTTTCTATTTATTATTAAATATTATGTATATATATATATATATATATATGTATGTATGTATGTATGTATGTATGTATGTATGTATGTATGTATGTATGTCTGTCTGTCTGTCTGTCTGTCTGTCTGT